CTCTCTCTCTCTGTGCTCACCTTCCTCCTTCTCCTGGCTGCTATCATAGAAGTAGATGTGCTGTGTGGTGAGTTCCAGGCGGCCGGGAACCACGTCCACTATCGTCACCAGCTCACAATCCTCCCACAACACCAGCTTCTCCTTCTGGCCCGCCTCATCTGCTTCAACCCTGCAGGAACCAGAGTGGGATGTTGCTTAGAAAGCCTTTCAATAACTCAGCACATCTACACGTGAATGTGTTCTGTTGATCGACAGTCATTATTTGGTGACTGACTGGTTGTTGGCAGCAACAGGATCGTCCTCTGGCAGCTCCAGGATGTCATCTTCCAGGTCGCTAACTTTGACTTGCTTCACAGCCTCCAGCAGCAGAGACTCTGGGTTTAAACGCTGCTGATGGACACCTGAGTAAAGCAAGTGAGACGGGTGGGAATTAAAAACTGAGGCGGAAAATTAATATTACGCAGGCCATCAAATGACAAAACTATACTGGGTTAGCTCAGCTCTACAGATTTATGTATGCAATTTGTTTTTGGGGTTCCCATATAACCGTTCATATACTTTGTCTGGGCAAAAATGCAAATTGGAAGGATTTATTATCAGATTAAGCCCTAGAATAACAACATCAGTGTTTTTTACTCTTAGTTCCACAAATCTGTCAAAACACGTGGTGCTTAAACTAATCCATCATCTCTGAAGAGGAACTACTCAAAGGCAGACAAAGACCAAGATGATATCTGACATTATTCAGAGACGCTGTTTAAGAAGACAACATGGGCCCAGGGGAGGCTGAATAGGAATCTGCTGCCCTGCTTGTGTCCCCAAAAACAGCTGAGAAGTAAACCTCTGATGCTGCAGTGATGTATGTGCACAGCAAAGCTGCAGCTGTGTTGTTCTGGTGGGACTGAGCTGTTAATCCTATGCAAGCATGTATGTATGCACTACACTGGGACAAAGCTAAGGCTCAAAATAGCTTTAAAACACATGGATTTAAAAGATGGCTGCATAAGAGACCTGCTTCTAGAAGGACTCTGACTTGTTTCTCGTATCTGTTTCTGTTAATCTGTTTATCGCAAGTAGGTTGGATGAGTGTGCTCATGATATACTGTACACACACACATTTCCCCTATCGTTACATCCACCCACTGATGCCTCTGTTGAAGCAGCGCCTGCTGCCAAACAGGGACTCTAAAGTCAAAAATATTCAAGCCTACATTTCTCTGCAGAGACGACTCAAGTTGCAGGAGCTCGTCTAAACAGAGAGAGATATTTCAGAGAGAAAAAGAAATGCTATCTCACCCAGGTTGTCTCTCAGAGCACTGGCTTCTCTGTGAGCATCAAAGTTGTAGTTACGGACCAGCTTCAGCCTCATGCGGGAGTAGTTTTCAGCACTCGATACCCTCCAGTGCATCTCATCCTGGTGCCTGTTAAAAATGTTACATAGGAGACTTTAAATACCTCCAAATCACACTTAA